GCAAGTGAAGGCTGAGCACCAGAAACCGAGAGGGTTGTTGAAGCCCCTTGTTGTTCCCATGAAGTGGGAGTGCATCTGTAATATCCCGTTTTATCGTGGATTAATTGGGAATAAATATTGATTATTGTTATTATCAATTTCCTTATTAATTATTATTATTATTATTATTATTATTATTATTATTATTATTATTAAATGCCAAATTGGTATTATTTGTTGTTATTAGTAATATTACTATTCCTAATATTAATTGTCCAATTGTTATATTATAATTAAATAAATTATGTGTTATATATATATTTTTTGGTCCGGTTTTATTTTAATTTATTAATCATGCGATTTTAACCGAGCCCGAGAAACCGATCCAATTTCTTGAAGCCGCGTTAGAACCGAGCTTTCGACCCGATGAACCGAATTTTTGACCCGGTCCGGTTTTCCTCCCTCACGTGCGTGTGTATGCGTGTGGAATTTTCTTGCAGAACAAGAAAATAAAACCTAATTATCTAAGGTATATATATGTATATATGTATATATATATATATATATACGCACCTTCAGCAATTTCGCAGCCACACCCTCAATCTCTGCTCTCACTCTCGCCACCATCATCAACCATCTTCTATCATCGATCATCATCCTATCATCAACCATCGTCACTGTCCCGCGGCTTATCACCATCATCGAACTCCCATCGCCATCATCGTTCATACTTGCAGCAGACCATCAGCACCTCTGTCAGCCATCATCGCCGCTGTACTCCTCCGCGAACCACCGTGATACGTAAGTGGGTTTTGACCCCTGACGACGAGAAGGACCAAGAGCCGAGACTACCCGAGAAGGCAGAAGAAAGGGCCAAAACGATGCATGCATGGCCGAAAAGACGGGTACGAGCTCGTATGCGAGGAGCACAAACACACAAGAAAGGGCGCTGTCAAGAAGGGCGCGCACACGCGCATTGGCGTAGACACGCATGGCGCTTGATGGTTTGGCGATGTGGCGCGCAGGGGGTGGATGTTGGGTGGTTGATGCGCGCGAGGGGTTACTGTGAATGGACGAGCGTGGCCAAGGGACGAATAAGCAAATGGCGCGCATCGGGCCATGATGCGCGCAACACGGCTACAAGCGATGGCGCGCTTTGGCCGAGTGATCGTGCACGAGCGGCAGAAGTGTGCGCGGTAAGCAAGAAGGCCACGGGCGTCGATTGGGATGCGTTAGCATTCGGGGAGTTGGACGGGCGCAAGGTGCGCACGGACTACGGGCGTACGCACGCAAGGGATGGAGATGCGCCAGCAGCGGGCAGGCGCGATAGCGCGTACGCGGTTGACGTCCTAAGCCCAGCGGGCATAGGAGTGCTGGGAACAGGCGTGCACGTGCATGAGGAGGTCGGCGAAATAGGCGCGCACGAAGGACGCTGCGTGGGAGTCAAGCGCGAGGGTTGCCGCGCGCCACGAGGAGTAAGAAAGGCGAGGGCGGCGCGCGAGCTGGCGGGCGCGCGACGCGTACATGGCGGC